GGGACTACAGGCGCCCACCACCTCGCCCGGCTAGTTTTTTGTATTTTTAGTAGAGACGGGGTTTCACCGTATTAGCCAGGATGGTCTAGATCTCCTGACCTCGTGATCCGCCCGTCTCGGCCTCCCAAAGTGCTGGGATTACAGGCGTGAGCCACTGCGCCCGGCCCCTGTCTTTCTTAACCCACTCCCTTACCATCTCTTCTCCAGATCACCTCCCAAGTAAACTACATGCATCTCGATCTTGGTCTCAGAGTCTTCTTTTGGAGGAACTCAACCTCAGACAGACGGTGTGTGTGTATAAGTGTGTGTGCACAGTTACATGTGTGAATGCATATAAGTGTGTAGATGATATTAAGAGTAAGTAATTACTTTTCTCGCTATAAATACTGGTTCCCTCCTTACTTAATGTGGTGTCAGGCAGACAGTTAGCATTCAATACTTACTTGGTAGCCATGATGATCATGATGGTGGTAACTTTGGTGAGGGTGAATCTCTATGTACTTGGCATGGTCCCCCAGGAGTCTTCTCCATATACTCTTGCTTGTTGCTTGTTGCTTGAACATCTGAACTCATGGGTACCTTGTTCACTTGTACCAGTCTCTACTTGCCCCCAAGCCCCATTCTCCTTATGAAACCCTCCTCATTGCTCTCTGTATTCTCAGATACAGGAAGTTAGTTGCAGCCTCTGGTCTGGCTTTAATAGTAATAATAACCCATAACTTCTAAAGAATATTTTAGAGTTTATAAAACGAGTTGATATTCATTCATTCACTTACTCATTTATGCAACTATTATGTTTCAAACGACTACCACACGCCAGGCATTGACCACGGTGCTGGAAGAACAGCAGAGACCAACACTGGCAAGGTCTGTACCCTCATGGAACTTAGGTTCTAGTGGTGGAGAGGCACACAACTTAGCGGCAAATTAATTTAATTAATATTATAAATAAGTATTTAAAAACACATATCTTTGGGAGGCCGAGGTGGGCAGATCACTTGAGGTCAGGAGTTCGAGACCAGCCTGGCCAACATGGTGGAACCCCATCTCTACTAAAAATACAAAAATTAGCCAGGCATGGTCGCAGTCACCTGTAATCCCAGCTACTTGGGAGGCTGAGGCAGGAGATACACTTGAACCTGGGAGGCGGATGTTGCAGTCAGCTGAGATTGTGCCACTCCACTCCAGCCTGGGTGACAGAGTGAGACTCCGTCTAAAAACAAACAAACAAACAAACACACAGATCTTACAAATAAACAATTAAGCAAGAGCTTAGACCATGGTAAGTGCTACACAGAAAACAGAACAGGACAGTCTGATAGGGAGAGTCTGGGGAGTACTTTTTAGGTGGGAGATCAGGCCAGCGACTGCAGAGAGAACAAGTAGCCAGAAGTTCAGGTATTTAGAGGATGGAAATTATACATTTCACCCTTTTTTATTTTAATTTTTTAAAGACAGGGTCTCGCTTTGTTGCCCAGGCTGGAGTGCAGTGGTGTGATCATGGCTCACTGCAGCCTTGAACTCCCAGGCACAACTGATCTTCCCACTTCAGCCTGCTGGGCAGCTGAGATTACAGGTGATGCTACCACACCCAGTTAATTTTTTAATTTTTTAATTTTTTGTAGCAACGGGCTTTTACCATGTTGTTCAGGTTAGTCTTGAACTCCTGCGCTCAAGTGATTCTCCTGCCTCAGCCTTTCAAAGTGCTAGGACTACAAATGTGAGCCACCATGCCTAGCTTCTCATCTTGGAATCTTAAAACAACTTTGAGTACTTATTCTTCTTTCTTTCAGGCCTTATTTTCTTTTATAATAAGGAGGCTGTGGCTCAGAGAAATCTGGTAATTTTCCCTGCGTCACAGAATATGGAACTGTCACAATTGTTTGGAGGTTACCCAGATGGTGTTGCACAGAAGATCTCAGATGAAAACATCAGGAATACAGATGATCCCTCTGTTCACCCCAAACCCCAATCCCCAGTGTTGGGGATATGATTAGCTTTAAGCCAAGTGTCACTGATGACTTCTCTCTCCCTGCTCAGTGTTTCTGGCCAAGACACACAGCAGGAGGAAGGCAGCCCTCACCTAGTCTTTCCACAACAGAGCCAGCTGGGTGCCTGGGGCAATAGACACTGCCTGATTCACAGCAGTGGCCAAAGATGCCAGCTGCCACCTTGCAGTCTTTGGATGATGCAATGATTCAGGGAAGTGCCATTGCTAACTCATTTACACTTTTGTGCTGCATGTGGCAGCCACAGAACCGCAGCAAGCATGCAGAGGTGGGCTTCACTTCCAGACACTGCCGATGATGGGCAGCGGGCTGGGATGGCTCACTCCTGCCTGCAGTCAAGCAGGTGTGCCCTCCTAGTTCTCAGGTTCTGAGCCTGGAATTCCAGAGCTATAACTTTTCTGAGTTTACCACCACTCAGGCAACTAACCAGTGATGCCTACTGTCTAAAGTTTTCCCTTATGTGGAAACAGAGGCATGGAGCAGGCAATGACTTGTTCATAGTCACTGTAATTATGAGCACCAGCTTGAACTTAGGAACTCTTACAAATTTCTGTTTTCAACCAAGTGTTGAGTGTCTGCTACGCGTCAGGCACTGTGCTAGGTGCTGAAAAGCTCACTTCTACTGAGGAAGACAGGAACATAAATGGTGATGAGCATTGTGTTAGAAGCGATGCCACAGGAATAGTGTGTGGCCTCTCCAGGGGGATCACAAGGTAGGGAGACCACAGTTCTCCAGTGGTGGAGAGGGCAGACAGGGTGGATGGTGTCCTGAAAGTCTGATGCAAAGGTCATGTTTGAGCTATTCACTGCTCTTTCCAATAAGATATAGTAGAGTCTTCCATTTATTTAAGCTCATTTTATTTAAAACATTCACTTATTTTTATTTTTAGCTTCAATTTTAAATATGAATATTTAATCATGAAAAAAAGAAAAGCATTACTATCAACTTGTGTGAGCTGTATCAGGTCTCAAAATGTATCCATGTCTCAATTTCCTCAAGAAGACTGAATGAGTTTAAATATATAAAGTACTTAGAACAGGATCCTGCACTATGCTATGGTTCTTGCCTTCTCTCTCAGAGGACATCAGTAGGTGGAAATTGGGTATGAATGAGCAACTGCAGCAATTCATGCACCTGCAAGCTCTAAATCCTGCCCCTGGGGGCTGCAGGTACCACCTCTGGCCTCAGTGAGCTGAAGTCGTGAATGAAGCCTACACCACAATCAACTCTGCAGTGCTACTGCGAGGATCACTGTGGGATATCATTTCAGTGTATGATCATGGTCCTTATTGTTTCGCTCTCTCTCTCTTTTTTTTTTTTTGAGACGGAGTCTGTTGCCCAGGCTGGAGTGCAGTGGTGTGATCTTGGCTCACTGCAACCTCCACCTCCCGGGTTCAAGCGATTCTCCTGCCTCAGCCTCCCAAGTAGCTGGGACTATAGGCGTGCACTACCATGCCCAGCTAATTTTAGTAGAGATGGGGTTTCACCATATTGGTCAGGCTGGTCTTGAACTCCTGACCTCAAGTGATCCATCTGCCTTGGCCTCCCAAAGTGCTGGGATTACAGGCGTGAGCCACCACGCCCAGCCTCCTTTTTTTTTTTTTTTTTTTTTTTGGACAGGGTCTTACTCTGTCACTCAGGCTGGAGTGCAGTGCAATGATGGCTCACTGCAGCCTCGATCTCCCGAGCTCAAGCAATCCTCCCACCTTAGCGTCTGAGAAGCTGGGACTACAGGTGCATGCCATCATGCCCAGCTTATTTTTGTATTTTCTGGAGAGACGGCGTTCCACCATGTTGCCCAGCTGATCTCGAACTCCTGGGCTTAAGTAATTTTCCTGTCTCGGTCTCCCAAAGTGCTGGGACTATAGGCATGAGCCACTGCACCCAGCCTTATTGTTTCTCAAAAGACAAACATGTGGCCTCTGGGTCTGTTGCTTGCTGCAGGTCAGCATTTATTTCATTTGCTAAAACACACATACAAATAAACTAACAAAAAGCCCACAGTGCAAAGCATTCCTACTGAGAGACAAGATACACATTTAGGCAAACAAGAGGACAAAAATGATCTATCTCAGTCATGTCCAGAACCTGCTGGGCTTGTGACTGGGCTTGGAGAGGTTCTATACAAAGAAATGACACACTTTGAAATGGTGCTTGGGCCTTTGGTGTCTGCTGGGAAGCTTGCAGAACAAACTGCTTCCTAGCATCTGATGGGAGGAGCTGGCAAAGGCTATGATAGGTCAGCTGTGAGTGGAGGTTTGGATTTCAGAACAGAGCAGTAGATGCGAACTATTATTCTCTATATTTATTTATATATACATATATGTAATTATATATCATTTATTTACATTTGTTATTCTAAATATGTGCACATCTCTTTCTCTCTCTCTCTCTCTCTCTGTGTGTGTGTGTATATATATATATATATTTTTTTTTTCTCCTCACCTGCATGGAAAAATATTATTCCCAAAGAGGGTCTAGCACATTAAAAACCCATCAAGAAACATCTTGGACCAATAGTCAGCTGGTCCCAGGTGTTGGGGTGGACACACACAAACCGTCAAGGAAAACAAATAGCATTTGCCTGGTGCTCAGGATACAGAGTGTCTCCAAGTCCTCCCAGTGTTGGGGAGGCAGGAGGAAGCTCAGGATCTGGCACATGCCAAGGAAAAGATGACTTTCAAACCCAGTTTGGTGCCCACTGGAGCAGAGTAGATTCTGCAGCTGCTCTGTCTCTGTGCTTTTAAGGATGTGGTTGTCCCTTCCTTTTCCTGAGATTTTGTCTTTTAAAGAAAGCCATCTGCCAAAAGCTACCCTTTGAAACCCTGCCCAAAGTTTGTTAATCGAATCACACCATTTCTCAAAAACCTTGAACAGTTCCCCAATGCATAGGGATAGAAGTCCAAATCCTAAGTTCGGCACCCATAGTCTTCCCTAATATGCCTTAAACCCCACCGCTCCTCTACTCCATTTTTCAACCATAGCATGGAAACTCACCAGTATACAAATAAGCCTGTATTTACCACTTCTGGGTCTTTGCGGATACTGTCTCTTCTGCCTGAAGGCCGTCTTTTCTCTTCCTTTATCCTAACCTTGTCATTTATATGACAAGATTTTATTTGACTGGCAGGTCTATTATATGCTAGATATTATTCTAGTGCTATTTGAAATGACCATAGTCATAGATTGCAGACAGGGCCGCAAATTCTTCACTTCCCTGAATCCATGGCCCCTTGACATGGTCTCCAGTTCTGACTCGGGTTTAGTCATGTGATTTGCTTTGGCCAGTGGGATGTTGGCAAATACAATGCAAACAGAGGTCTGAAAAGAGCTTAAATTCTTTTTTCTTGGAAATCTTCTGTCACTGTGTGAATAAGTCTGGACTAGCCTGCTGGAGGCTGAACAACCTATGAAACAGAGACAATCTATCCCAGCTAAGGGCCCTAGACCAATCAGTCCCAAGTTGACCTGGCCTCTGTTCACAGATGCATGCCAACCACAGAATCCTGTGCTAAATAAATGGTTGTTATTTTAAGTTACACATTTTGGGTGATTTGTTGAATACGGTAGATAAATAATGCAGCCACCAATTGTTTTTACCAATTTAATACCTCTTACTCTTCTGTTGGTAATAGCAAATCAACAAACACCTTCCTCTGTTCTCATCTATGCTATATGCTTCTAGCAAAGTTGATTCGAACTGCTGCCTCTGACTCTAGAGATGGCCAATCAGTGTATCCCTGGCCACCAGAATGGGCACATGATTCAAGCTGGTTCAGCGAGACTAAGTCTAGAATTTTTATTGTGATTCTTGGAATAATGACGCCCTTTTTCTACCGAGATGGCTTGGCTAGGAGAATATAAGCCTCAAGAAGCTGGTAGTAATCTTGCCACTGTGAGGGGAGAACCTGCCTTAGAATGAAGCTAACCACAGAAGAGAGAAGAACTGAGAGACACAGAGTGAGCCCAGTAGACAGCACGTGACTCTGAATCAG